TTGCCTGTTTGAGATGGTGGGCTACGCCCCCCCCATAACTGAAGACTAAACTCGGCACCTTGAGCTGAGCTGCTGCCTGGGTGGCTCAGGGGATACAGCTCGTGCTCTTAACAACAAGGCTGCCAGTTTGACTCCACATGGGATGGTGGCTACGCCTACCCGCAACTAATTGAACATGGCACTTGAGCTGAGCGACGCAACTTGACTTGGGGCTGAGCTTGCTGCACCCTCTACAACTAAGATTGAAGGACCACAATTTGGCTGTTCCCCTTCCCCAATTCCCCAACACTGTTCCCCTCCCCCAATTTCCCAATAAAATCTTTTTAAAAAATCAGTGGCCACTTTGGGGAACTTTTGAGGTTCCCAGACTTGATTTTCTTAAAACTGAAATGGATAGTAACAGCGCTGCAACTGAGAAAGAGGAATGGAATGCCTATTTGGAGTGGTATGTTGAGGCTGCCAAACAGGACTGTAAATCTAAAGTTGTCTTTTTACAAAATAAAGTCTCAAAGTTAACAAAGACTTAAAAATTCTAAGAGACAGAATGGCGCCTGAAACCTTGCTCTCTTTGTCTACAGCACTCCCTTGCCCTTCCCCAACTTCTCTTTTGTCTCAAACTCCCCCTCCGACGCCATCTTGTCCCTCATTGCCACCTCCTCCACTTTTCAGCTCAACCCCCAGCAGCACCTTCTCTTGAACCTCCTCCTCTCTCTTCTTCCTCGGAACCTATCAGTACTTTTCCATTTAAGATTAAACCCTCTGGAGATCCTAATAAACCCCACATTTCCTACATCCCCTGGACAAAAGCTGAGTTACGAGCCATTGAAAAGGAATTTCCTAAGGTAGCTGAAGATTCTAATAAATTTGCTGAGGCATTTGATATTACTATTTAAGCCTATCAGCCTGATATGTACTGGCTAATCCATATTGGTGGATTAGTTGGTTAGTGAAGACCAAGCTAGACATTGGATGAGGATTGCCAGATGGGAGCATCCTGATAGGGATTTAGAAAAGCAAACCTCCAATTATTGGGAGGAAGCCAGGGAACTTGTTCAAAAGCTACATTGAGCAATTCCCGAGACTTTTCCAAAGTCTATTGATTGGAGCAAAATTCATACTCGCGCACAAAGGACTGATGAATCTGTTTATGACTATTAAAAAAGGTTTCAAGTAGTTTTTCAGGAAAATTCTGGCCTTCCTTCAGATATTGACTCCACATGTGTAACTTTTAATTCTTTGTCAATGGGCTAAGTAAAAAACCTTTCCCTCTTGATTAGGAGATCCAGGATGGGATGGGGAACTATGTCTACTCTAGACTTGCTAAATTTGTCTAATTAGCTTACCAGTACCCTAGACAAGCCACCTAGAAGTAAGATTGTCAAGACTTTTGACAATCTTAATTTTCCCGAATAAACCGCTCTTTTGGTGGATTTTTTGGAGAGTTATTTTGGCCAGTCAACACCTAAGGCCAAACAACTAGTGATGACAGCCCTGGCAGACAAATCTAGATCTAACTCCAAGGACCAAGTTCTTCCCCATTCCCCATCTTACTTTACTGAACTAATTTTGGCTGCTGCTGTAGTTCAAATTCATTTGTTATGAAACACCCACAATGTTTGGAGCCATTATCAGGCCATCAGATCAAGTATAGCCTTTCTGTCTGGCCGCAGCCTTCAGGTAAGCCAAGATGGGCAATTACAAGTACATCCAGGAGCTATGGAGGAAGCAGCAGTCCGATGTAATGTGGTTTCTTCTCAGGGTGCGCTGCTGGCAGTATCGCCAGCTCTCTGCGCTCCACAGGGCGACGCCCCCACCCCCATCCTACATGGCCCGAAAAGCGCACAGGCTGGGATACAAGGCAGAGCAAGGTTATGTTATATATCAGATTCATGTGTGCCATGGGGGCCGCAAACGCCCAGTTCCTAAAGGTGTGGCCTATGGCAAGCGTGTCCATCACGGTGTTAACCAGCTGAAGTTTGCTCAAAGCCTTCAGTCTGTTGCCGAGGAGCAAGCTGGACGCCATTATAGGGTCCTGAGAGTCCTGAATTCTAACTGGGTTGGTGAAGACTCCATGTATGAATTCTTTGAGGTTATCCTCATTGATCCATTCCATAAAGCTATCAGACAGAATCTTGACACCCAGTGGATCACTGAACCAGTCCACAAGCACAGAAAGGTGTGATGGCTGACATCTGCAGGCCTCAATAGCCATGACCTTGGAAAGGGCCACAAGTACCACTATAGGATTGGTGGGTTTTGCCCTGCTGGTTGGAGAAGATGCAATACTCTCCAGCTCCACCGTTAACGCTAATATGAATAATGTTTGTAAAATTCTTACCTAATAAACAATTTAGGACAGTAAAAAAAAAATCAAGTATAAACAATGAAAAAATGAACTGTGGAGAGCAATATTCATTCACCTCCTTTCTTTCTAGTCCTCTCTTCTCTCTCCCCAGTACCCACAGGGTACATAATAAGTGTGTGTGGAGTTACTTTGGGCCCACTGCCCGCTCTGGACAATCCCCAGCCTGGGGCAACAATTGTGCCAACTGGGGAGATGGGGGAGGGTTATCAGCAGTTATCTCAGGAAAGACAGGCTTCCTGTCATCCAAGAACAACCAATGCCCCTTCCCAAGTGTCAAATAATCCTCTTCCTAAGAGAGGGAAGAGAAAAGAACTCACGTTTATTATATCCATTTTACAAATAAGGAAACAGGTTGAGAAGGTGAAGAGATTTGCCCAGGATCACACAGCCAGTGACAGGGCTGAGTTTCAAAAGAATTGTATAGCATTTGCTCATTTCTGTGGTGTAGATATTCCCAACATGGCTGATTTCAAATTAACTAACATGACATCTCCGAATACGGAGTTGGACAGAGATGCCCACAAGGGACTCTCACAAGCAGATTATTGAATAGCAAACACAAAACTCTATTGCATTTTTAACACATGCCTGCACACTTACTAGAGTGCAAGGGCTGAGACTTCATCTTTTTTTACTTGTCCTCACAGCATATGGCAGAGTGCTGCCTATGGTTGAATGGCACACTGGCAAAATGAAAGAAGAACATCCATTCTCTTTTCACTAGGCCATGCTACTTTGCACAGCCACACGTACCAAGAATATCATGTGTATAGAATTTTATTGACTAAGCTCTTTCACACACAGTAACTCAAGCAGAGTTGGTTGATCAACGCAGCCAACACCACCTTGCACGTGATGGACCCACTGTGAGAAAGGCTCCTTTGGGAACCTGAATTTCTCCCTCCTCACCTCATTTCTTCCTACCCCATCTTCCCTCTTTTAAAAAAGTTTTTTTTTAGTATGTGGTAACAAAATGACTATTTTAACCATTTTTAAATGTACAATTCATCAGCATTAAGTAGATTCGCATTGTTGTACAACCATCTCTAAAATTTTTCATCTTCCAAACTCCATACTCATTAAACAACAACTCTGCGTTCCCCTCCCCCCCTCATTCCCCGCCCCCCCAGCTGCTGGTAACTGCCATTCTACTTTCTGTGTCTATGGATTTGACTGCTCCAGGTACCTCATGTAATTGGAATCAGAAAATATTTGTCCTTTTGTGTCCGGCTTATTTCACTGAGCACAATGTCTTCAAGGTTCATCTTTGTTGTAGCATGTGTCACAATTTCCTTCCTTTTTAAGGCTGAACAATATTTCATGGTATGTATATACCACATTTTGTTTAGCTATTCGTCCCTTGATGGACTTGGGCTGCTCCCACCACTGGCTATTGTGAATATTCCTTCTATGAACCTTGGTGTTCAAGTCCTTGCTTTCAACTCTTGTTTGTGTATATCCAGAAGTGGAATTACTGGGTCATATGGTAACTCTATGTTTGAGTTTTTGAGGAACTGCATACTGTTTTCCACAGCAGCTGCACCACTTTACATTCCCACCAGCAAATGCACAAGGGTTCCATTTCTCCATAGCCTTGTCAAGTCTTGTTATTTTCTGAATTTATCTCATTGTGATTTTGATTTGCATTTTCCTAATGATTAGTGATGTTGAGCATCTTTTCATGTGCCTTTGGCCGTTTGTATATCTTCTTTGGAGAAATGTTTATTCGAGTCCTTTGCCCATTTTTTAAAAGTTTTTTTTTCTGTTGAGTTGTAGTTCTTTTTATATTCTTCATATCCATCTTTTATCAGATACATGATTTGTAAATAATTTCTCCCATTCAGTAGGTGGAAGGTCTTTTCACTCTGTTCATAGTGTCCTTTGATGCCCCATCCTTCCTTTTAAGGAACTGATTCATCATTTCCTTCCGAGGTCAAAATCCTCTGACTCGTGCTTTTAACCAATGCACTGTGTACTCTGTTCATTCTCAATCTATTTCTCTACCTGTCTCTATCCCCTTATCTCTATCTCTTTCAGTTTCTCTTAAGCAAAAATCTACTTAAAACATATCTAGCACAGCATTCCATTTATTTTCCTCAGCCATTCAATAGAGATTATTATTATTTTATTCTTTTGTTACATTTTGTTTGTTTGTTTGTTTATGCACCTCTCCCATCAGACTCTAAACTTCCTGGGAATAGGGACCATGACAAGCACACCATAAGTAGTTGTTGGATGTATGAATGATTCTTATATCACTCTCCCACTTAATTTGTCTCCTTTAATAGGATGTGACACGTGTGCGTGCAAGAACAGAGACTATCTTTGTTGTCATTCCAGTAATTAGCACTGTGCCTGGGACATAGCTGGCACTCACAAATATCTGTGGCATGAATAAATTCAACTGTCTCCTCTTAGACATTTGGTTGTTTTCAATGTCACTCTATTAAAAATAGCTCATCTTAAAAAAAAAAAAAGAATCCCCTGACTCGTGCATGTAGCAATCCTTCTAAAAACACTCTCTGCATGTATTTTAGAATGACCTAGGAAGTTAAATAAAAAGAAAGTCAGAGTAGTCATACTCTGTTCCTCTCTTTTACAGTTTCACATTTCTAAGGAAAATTCAGAGTTACACAATATAAACTTTTTTTGAAAAGGGCAGGGGAAATGGAATTATGGACTAGAGTGAAAAGGGAGGCTGCATGGAAAATGACAAAACATAACATCTATCAGGACAAAACATAACATTTATTAAGTACTTATTTCTTGCCAGACACTGTTTTAAGCAATTTTAAATCCTCAAAACTATGCTATTATGTCAACAGTAAAACTATTTGCATTTTACAGATGAAGAAGTAGAAGCCCAGAGAGAGGTTAAACAGTCTGCCCCAAATCACAAACTAGGTGGAGCCAGAAATTGAACCCTAACAACATGGGTCCACGGGCCACTTTATTGATCACTATGTGACATTGTGTCAGAATTATCTAAGTTCAAATGATTAATGAGCACATGACTACAAACCCATTAGTAATCTTAGGGAAATTCAAACTAAAGACAAGATTTTACTTCACACCTACCAGCAATTTGAAAATTGGATAATGCCAAGGGTGGGTGGAGAATTAGGAAAACGGAAGCGCTCCTGTAACCATGGGTGAGAGTGTAGACTGGTACAGCCAGTCCAGAAGTGATCTGGTAGTTCTTCATCCAGTTAAGTATGAGTATAGACTATGATCTAGGAATGTCACTCCTGGGTGTACATTCCAGAGAAATTCTTACATTGGTGCATAGGGGAACATTGAGAAGGATCTCTTCACAGCATCGTTTATAGAAAAGGGAGTTGAAGGCAACCTAAGTGTTCACTGCCAGGGGAATAGGTAAGTAAAATGTAGATGCATATAATAGAGAACCAGGCAAATGTTGGCATCAATGAACCAGATGTATGCACTTTAACTTGGTCAAAATGTTAAAACAATGCTGAATGGGGGGTGGGCGGGGAGGGCAGGGAAGAGTCACAGAATGTGGTCCATAGCCCAATCTATGTAAATCATAACTTTTATGTAAATTTAAAATGAATACACACAGAAAATAACACTCCATTTTCGAAGGATACATACGAAGTCAAGGGTATTTCTTGAATACTCTAGAACTGTTGTAGGGGATGAGACTGGAGAATGGCGATGAAAGAAAACAACAGACATTCACGCAGGGGGAGGGCTTCTTGACATACATGGTGGTTTGGAAATCCTGACTGGTGATGTTACTTCGAAAGAATTACAACTTAGCTTTTCCTATCATCCTTGTCACCATTGCAAGAAGTGAGAGACATAGATTAGCAGCCAATTCTGGGTTCGAGGCAGTTTCATGCTGTGTGTTCTCTACAATCCTTTAGCCTCTCTGAGTCCCATGTTCCCCTTAGTAAGATAAAGGAATTGGACCCTTGCAATTCCAAAATGTTCTGATCCTGTGAAAATCCCCGACATCTGTTTTTAAAATGTGGACATAGAATTTTGGAAGGATATGTATTAAATTCCTTCCCTAGCTGTCCCTAAAGGGTCTCTTAAACCCTTTCAAAATAAGTGCATGTCTATGTCAATATGTCTGCTTATGCTATTAAAACATTCTGGGAAAGCAGTAAGCTTTGGAGACAGACAGGTCTCAGTTCCAGCCCTTCTGTGAGAAACTGTAGATCCACTGATGATTAAGATTCAGTTCCTGCCCCAGGCATTGAAATGCAAAAACTTCAGTAACCATAGTAATTAAGGTTTACAAAGTTGGAACCCTCCCAGCCCAAAATGCTGCTAGAAGGAAGCCAATGAACCTGCCTGGAAGACTTCAGGAAGGCTGCCAGTAGGAGGTATTCTGGGATAGGTCGGAAAGAAGAGAGAGCACCTCAGAAGGTTACAACCAGGTAGAGGTCCCAGGGGGTGTAAAGGTGTCTGTATTCAGCGTGGTGAGGGGATCAGCCGGGCTGTAGCATGGGCTACAAACTAAAATACTCCCCCCACCCCCATGGGCCCTGGGTGTAAATGAGACTCTGGCCTGTGTGTTGGGGCAACATTCTGGGAGAACCAAGGGGTGCTCATAAGTTACCATCGCGGAACTGTCAGACTTATTCTTTATTGAGCACTTCCTGAACGCAGACCTTATACATACCATAGCAGTGTTTCCTGAAGTGCGTTATCCAAGTTCCTGGGACATAGGAGGTAACTTTAGATAGAACACCAAGAACATTTTAATTTTAATAATTATGCTTTATGTTTATGTTTACCTTCTATGTATGGCTGGTAGCATTTGCTTTCATTTACAATTGAGTTACAAAGTATCCTTTTTAAACATTTAAGTATTAAAAATTGACTCGATTTAAAGAAAAATATTTATTAAGTAAACATGCAGCTGGTACATAGATACTGCAAAAATTGAGAGAGGGGTAGATGAATGACTGATATTCGAGAAACACTGTGCTTTAGCTTATAAGCATTTATCTCATTCAGAGCTCTTTTGGTTGCAAGTAATAGATAACTCAAATCAGCATAAGCAAAATAAGAGAATGTGTCCTAACAAAGGACTCACTCTCACAGGCCCCAAAGAAAAAAGTGCAGTTGTGCCTCAAGAAGGACTTAGCCTGGAGGAGAGCCAGCAGGCCCCTGGAAGCACTGCCCTTCCTCACGCCAGTCTCCTGGGGTTTCCTTCTGGTCTCTGCTTTGCTTTATACACCTCCATCTTCTCTCAGAGCAGAGCCATTTTCTCTAGTACATTCATGCATATGGCTGCCCTCTGCCACCCTCCCAACCCCCCTCATATACACATAGATAGATGAGATACATGCATGTGGACACACACACTCACAGATCCAGAGTTTATGTATCTTCAGGCAGGTGACCTGCAGAGCCTGAAAAAGCATTCCTGAATCTTGCTACTTGTTCCTGAGAGAAAGAACCTGACTGGCCCAACTTGAGCTAGATGCTCTCCTCTTATCCATTCGGCTCCTATAAAATTGAGGGGAACAAATTCTCAGAGAAAGGGAGAACCTGGAATGAGCAGTCACCCTGACCAAGAGGTATTTGCCTCAGCAACTTAATTCACTGCTCGTAACAACCCTATGAGGTAGGAAATTCAGCTCGCCGTCCATCAACAGGAAGTGACAAAGCCAAGATATGAACCTGGGTCTGTGTGACACCAAAGCTCTAGTATGCTACACTACCTACCTGGTCACCATCAGCTAAGTCCAGCCCACAGCTGCCATCCTGGACCCAAGCAGGTTACTGGCCCATTGAGAAGCAATTATTAAAATCATCAACCCAGTGCTTGCCCAATAGACAGGGAACAAGGATCCCAACTTTATGGAGACACTAGTTGGAAGGGAAGAAGATTTCTCAGAAGGCCCACAGGGCTCTGGAAATCAGAGAAGTCTCCTCTCAGCCTTGGGTCTGGGACTTTCAGGTTCATACTGCAAGTACTCAGCTCAGGGTGTGAGAGGAGGGTCATTTGAAATTATTTGCTGAAAATCATAGGCAGACATTTAGAGAGCCTCGAGAAGCTGACACTTTTCTTCTGCACCCAGAATTCAAGTGTCTCCTGGCCCTTAAGACCATAACTCCTCCTTCCACCTCCTGGAAGCTAAATTAGGAGGGGCCTCTAAGCGATGCAGGGAGAACTGATAGGCTCCTTCCACTCTTGGGGCATTTCACACACACAGGCACTTCCCAGCCTATGCTCTGTTGTCATAGAAGCCTCTGGGCATCACGGTACCTTGGACAGCCTGAGTTTGGGTTTGAGGGGACTTTTCCCACCCACAGTGGGTGGCTGCCCACAGGAGGTACTTCATCAGGGTCTGTTATTGAGACAGACGGATGGGTGTAGCACGAATGTGTCTCTGCCACTCCACCAGAGCTGACCCAGGCCTGGGGTAAGGCCTGTGCAGAGAGACACATCTGCCTCAGGAAACAATCTCTCTGTCCTAGTGTTTGGTCTATGTATGTTTTATCTTCTCTGGTCATCATTCAGGACAGGTTTTTGGATGAGTTGGGAGACGTTTCCATTGAGCTATTTCCCCAAAGAAATCTCACAAAGACCTTTTTCCATGGGTGGAGACAAGGTGGCACCATCCTACCTCAAAAGTCTGCCCCAAAGATACTGTCACACTGCCAGGGGAGTGTCCCTTTCCCAAAACCCCCTTCTCTGTCTTTATAATAATAAAGGGAGTGATTGCACAAAACTTTAGGCCACACTCGCTTGGGGCTGTTGCCCCGCTTAGTGAACTGGATGCCTCAGTCTTCCCACCAGGTTTGCCCCTGGCCCTGACTTTCCTCCCAGAACTATCAGGTTCGGGCACTCAGGATAAGGTCACCAGCCAAGGTTAATATGGCATGTGCCCAAAGGTGGCTGAAGGGGCTCATTCAAGTTTTGGATTTTCCAGCAGTCTGACTCTGCCATCATCATACGTTGGGGAGGTAGCCTCCATATCTAGTGGGCCCCCAGTGCCCAGGGAGGAGGTGCCCAGACCACAGTAGATACCCCCTCTTCCCCCTAAGTCGGTAGTAATGTCCCTGAGAGAGAAGCCTCTGGGCCTGGCCCCAACAATCAGAGACTAATTTTTGAGGGAATTGACAGGGATCTGGTTCAGTGGCAAGACCACTTCGGTGCCAGTCTCCGTGGTGACCAGGGGGCATTTCCGGCTGCTGCGCATGCTGTGGAACTTCTCAGAGAGGTGCTTGCGGAACTTCTTGGTTAGGAAACAGTAGATGATGGGGTCCAAGACACAGTTGGTGCTAAGAAGGCAGAGGGTGACCTGATGAGCATCGTTAATAGCTTGGTGGAAGCTGCTGTTCTGGAAGCCCAGCTCGGCCAGGGTCCAGGGCAGCTGCACCATGTGGTGAGGCACAAAGCATATGATGAACACCGCCAAGACCATGCAGACCATCCACAGCGCCCGGCGCTTGACTTCCTCGTTGCGCTGCAGCTGCACGGGTTGCATGAGCAGCGTGCGGATGATGACCAGGTTGCAGAAGAGGATGATGAGGAAGACAAGGAAGAAGCCAAACACAAGGAAGATGTGAATGATGAGGACAGGCACGCTGCCCTTCTCGTAATGCTCAAAGCAGCGGGTGATATTGCCTGAGCCGGTCTTGTTGGGCACTACGTTGGTGGAGTCCAGGACAAAGAAGTAGGATGCAGCGCCTACAATGGCCACCCAGATGACCACAGACAAAAAGATGCCACGCTTGCGGGTGGTGGCCTGTGCCGTCTTGATGGGCCGTGTCACCGCCTGGAAGCGGTTGTAAGTGATGACGGCCAGGAAGGCCACTGAGCAGTAGGTGTTGATGAAGAAAAAGCAGCCGGCCAGATTGCACAGGAATGCGGGGAGAATCCAGTTGCCCCGATGGTAGTAGTAGACAATCCACAGGGGCAGGGTGACCAAGAAGAGCAGGTCGGCCATGGTGAGATTCACCATGAAGATCTTTATCTCATTGAGTTTCTTGGAAGGGTAAAGGCGGACAAACACCCACAGCACATAGCTATTGGCGATGACTCCCAGCACGAAGATGATGCTGTAAGCAATCGGGAAGAGGGTGTATCGGAACTCAGAGTCCACGCGAGAGGAATCATTTCTCTCCATCGCTCTGGGCTGGAAGAGGCTGCTGTTCAGTGTCCTACCTGTGCCTGGAAGACCACACAGGAATTCTGGTTAATGAAAAGCGGACAAGGGACTATCTTATTTCATCAGCTCAAAGACTCATTTTGTACTTTTTTTTTTTATTGGGGAACAGTATGGTCATTGGTTACACATTGTTTTCATGCTACAATGGCATAGCTGACTCTTTTAAGGAAGGCGCAGCTCACAGTGGCCCATGCAGGGATCGAACCGGCAACCTTGGTGTTAGCACCACGCTCTAACCAACTGAGCTAACTAATTGGTCACCCCCCACCCCGCCCCTTGAAATGAAATTTGAAATAAAATTTTGATGGTAAAATGTTCTATATTTAAAAATAATTTAGGTGCTCAAAAGAAATCTGGAAAATACAGAAAAGTATCATATGAGGGTCATCCAGAGAATGAAATACTAGCCAATCATTAGAAAGAACAAGTTAGAACTGACTGTACTGACATGGAAAGTTGTCCCTGGATAATATTATTAAATTAAAAAAAAAAAGTTGTTATGACCCCCATTACACAGGTGTATACAAATAAAAAATTTTAAAAATGATCTGGGGCCGGCTGAGTGGCTCAGTTGGTTAAGAGCTCGCTCAAGAGTTTGAGCTCTGAGCAACAGTGGTTCGAGTCAGCCCGAGCTGAGCAGCCGCGAGCTGCCAACAGGTGGCGGGATGGCTCAGCTAAAAAAAAAAATATATAAAAAAAATGATCTGGAAGGATACACTTCTAAGAGCTGTCAGTGGTTAAAAGGAAGTTTATTTACTTTATACTTAATGCTTTTTTGTACTTTTAAGGAGCACTTAATACTTTAATAATTAAAATTTTTTAAATATAATTTTAAAAGTATTCCGTGGGGAAACCCAGTCAACAATATTTTAACCAAGTGATCAAGATGAATGTCATCATCATTAATAAGAAATATCAGCATCATGGACCTTTGATATGATGTACTGAAAAGGACACATCACTTCTGTGGTATTCTTGCCAAACATGCATAATCTCAATTTAGTCATGAGAAAATATCATTTCAACCCAAAATGTGAGACATTCTACAAAATGACTGATCAGTATTGATTAGAAGTGCCAAGGTCATGAAAGACAAGGAACGACTCAGGAACTGTCAAAGATTAGAGGAAGGCTAAGGCGACATGACAACTAAATGCAATGTGGGATCCTGGATTGTATCCTGGAACAGAAAAGATCATTAAGGGGAAAACTGGTGAAGTTCAAATAAGATCTACAATTTAGCTAATATTGTATCAACATTCATTTCCTGGTTTTGATCATTGTGTTATGCATTTGTAAATTGTTAACATTAGAGAATGTTGAGTGAAGGGCGTACATGAACTCTTTATTACTGTTTTGCAACTTTTTTGAAGGCCTAAAAGTACTTCAAAATATAAAGTCTTTAAAATATATTAAAGAACATTAAAACTAGCCATAATCCCAGTACCCAAAGTCTGGTCCATTTTCTAACAGTTCCCCCACAAACACACACACACACTCTCCATCAGAACCAGTTGCTCCCTCCCCTCCCCTGTTGTTCCTCCCAGTATGTTGCCATCACATGAGCCTGGAAGCCCCTCTGATGATGTTTGTTGCTGTGGGCAGACTCAGGGAAGCAGCTCAGGGAGAAGGGATGGCATGAGACTCAGATGGGATTAAGTGGGCCTGAGGCACATCATAGTACAGTGAAAAGAGCATAGACCCGAGAGTGAGAAGCAAGGAAGACAATTAACACTTAGTAGCACCTTTTTTGGAGCCAGGCACCCTGCTAGGTGCATCCACATGTACTATCTCACTTGACTCACAAAGGCCCTTTGAGATAGGAGGTAAAATCCCCATTTTACAGAATAGGAAAGTTGAGTATAGGGTAGTTGTGTGACTTGTCCATGGCCAAACAGCTGTTAAGGGATGGAGGCAGGATTTCAAATCCAGCTCTGTGTTCATTTGTTTGTTCACACATTCATCCAACAAATATTTCTGAGAACCAATAGCATGTCAGGTTCACTGAAAAGCACAGGAGATACAAGGTGAACACAACCAACAAGGCCCTGCACTCAGGGAACTCAGAGTCTCACAGGGGAGATAAAAGCAATGTAAACAAATATAGTTGCTCTACAAAGAAAATGGGGTGCTGATATGGAGATTTTAAAAAAGAGATCTACTTAGACAGGAGGTGACATTTCAGCTGAGGCCTGAAAGAGGGGCAGAGGAAAGCAGAGAGATCTGCATGGGTGCAGGACTGAGGCAAGAAAGAGCTTAATCAGTTCCAAGAATTGAAAAAAAAAATGCCATCTGATGATCCCTGCCCTGACCTCCCACTGCTACTCCACCCTCATTTCGTGCCACCTTCCTACCAAGCTCCAGCCAAAATGGACTTTCCAGGTGGGTTTTCAAACCTGCTCAGATCTTTTCTACCTGAACCTCCATGTACACCCATGCCATTGCCTTGAACATTCTTCCCTATCCACACCCCACTTCCACCTGGCCGTTCCAACCCATACTTCAGACCTTAGCTGAATTTCACTTCTTCAGGAATATTTTCACTGACCTCGGTCCAGGTCAGGTCCTGTCTTAAAGCTTCCTGTATTTCTTCGTAAATATTAGTGCAGTTGTAATCATATTTGCATTTGTGTGATTGTTTAACACTCTCGCACTTGACTTTAAGCTTCAGGAGAACAAGGACCTTGTCTGTCTAGTCAACAGCTATTCCTAGCACCATGAACCAATAATGAAGGAATGGGTGATAAGCCTTGTTAATTACACCCATCCCTTAGGGAGCCCAGAGCAGTGGAAACACTTGAAAAAGACTATAGGTACTTATAGGTGAGTTTTAAGAAACAACTGGCTCTCACTGGAATTTTGTTGATTGAGAAAATTGTTGTGCTTTGTTTCGTTTAGTGGGGTGGTGATTTGTCACATTAAACTAAATAAATGTTGTTCCCTTATTCCAATAAATCATTGTGATCCCTTTAAAAACAAAAAAGCTCACCCTCAAGTCACACTGTGAATTACATAGTTGATTTGAATTATATACAGTTTTATGCTGCTTCCCCAGCAGCAAAATTGCTAGCTTCTGCTCTGCTGGAACCTTCTCCACTCCTAAAGGTAGCCCCCATCTGATCCCAAAGCTCTAGGATGGATAATAGTTCTCAAAGGGGGATTCCATTGAATCTCTTTCAGACCTTTCAAGAGATCATGAGGTCAAAACTATAGTCATAATAATATCAAGACATTATTTGCCTTTTTCACTGTGTTGACATTTGCACTGACGTTACAAAATGGTGAACAAAACTGCTGGCTCCTCAGCACAAATTAAGGCCGCAGCACAAAACCGTAGCAGAAGTCATATTCTCCACAGCCATGCATGCAGGATAAAAAAGAAAAAGAATAAATAAATAGGGAGCATTTTCTCAATCCGTTGAGATTTTGCTTCCCGGCAATTATCGTCAGTTTGGCTCAAAGAAACTCTTATAAGCTTTCTCTTAGGCTGGATGTTTTTTGGCTATAAATAAATAAATAGTGAACCCTCTTTAAAGAGGGCCAATTTCACTTTAAAATGTCCTTGATGAAGCAAGGAAATTACTACTTTAATTAAACCTTGAGCACATATCTTTTTAAATATTCTGTGTCAAAATGGGAAGTCTGCATGAATCGCTTCTGCTGCAAACTGAAGTACTGTGGTTGTCTTCAGGGAAAGCATTTACACAATTGTTTGAGTTGTGAGCTGAACTCTTTCGAGGATCACCACTATCACCTGAAAAAATGACAAACTGGTTTTTCAGACTTGAGCATCTGGCAGACATTTTCTCAGACATGAATGAGTGAGCATGTCCCTTCAAGGAAAACAAACAGTGTTAATTGCCCATGGTAAAATTCAGGTTTCAGGAGGAAATTTGAATTTTTGGAAAAATTATATCTGCCAGCGGGAGCTTGACTGCTTTCCAATACTTAATGAATTTTCTGATGAAATTGGTGGTGATATTAATGAATGCAATTTTTTGATGTCTTCTAATGAAAGGTCAGTATTTAGAAGATCTGTATAACTCAGTGAACCGATCTTTTCCAAATGAGGAAGTGGTGATGTTTCAAAATTATGTATAGGTAAAAGATTCAAAGGGTAAGACAGACCAATACATCACAGAGTACAGATTACAAAAAGTTTATTAATGTGATCCAGGTCTCACATTGCAACTAACCTTTAAGAAACGACCATTTGTGAAGCTTTGATGTGATATCAAAGAAGAGGATCACCAATTATGGGAAAAGACATTAAAATATCCCTCCCTTTACAAATACTCTCTGTGTGAGGGCAGGTTTTCTTCATATATTCCAACCAAAATGACATAGCCTCGCAGATTGAATGCAGAAGCAGATATGAGAATCCAGCTGTCTTCTGTCAAGCTCAACATTAAAGAGATATGCAAAAAATGTAAGTCAATGTGTTCTTCTCCCTAAATTGTTTGCTTTGAAAACTCTAGCTATATTTCACTAAAAATGTTATTTATGTTAACATGGAATGAGTTCGTTATTGGTTTTTATATTTAAAAACAAAAATTTTTAGAATGTCTTAGTTTTCATTTTGAATATTGTGAGCTATAACCCATGTACGCAAAAGTTCTCTGGGGCCCTCAAACATTTTCAAGGATATAAAAAGATCCTGAGTCCAGAAATTTAGGCTCCCTCGGTCTTCCTTGAGTCCGGATGCCCATTCATCTGGGATTGACCTTGTCTCTTTCTCCTGCTGGCCCCCGGGGACCTTCGAGGACCCTGTTCCTGCGGCCTGAGAGAGGCAAGGAAGCAGCTCACAATTGGGAGTTGATGGAGCTCCTCACTCTGAGTCTTTGAGAAAGTCACATCCCTACCTATCTCCCACCTCCACCCCTAAGTCAGTCCTTTCCTCTCCTTGGATTTAGACTCCAGTTTAATGGGGTGGGGGTAACTCTCCTTTAGAAATGGTCCCTCTTTAGCCAGAGGTCTCAACCCAGGACATCCTCCTGGGCCC